GCCCCAGGAGCAGCCCCAGGACAGCAGAGCTGCGGGGCAGAAAGTTCCTCTGCCAGCTGCAGACCTGTAACCCTGAGCACCAACCTCCCAGCACTGCTACCCAGGCCGTGCTGGGCTGGACTGGCGCCCTGTGCTGCCGAGCCCTGCCCTCAGGAATGCTGCAGCAGCTTTCCCGAGCAGTTTCAGACCAGTGGCCATCACACTGCAGCAAAACACACGCGCTCAGGTGTGGTTATAACCGGGCTCCCTAACGTGCAGTTACAACTCTCTGCTTGCTCAGGGAAGAGTTGCAGTCACTGCCAATCCTAAACCCTCTGGGAGAGTTGAGTAGATTGCGATCAGAGATGGAGTGGGAAGGTGCTAGCAGCTCTGGAAGCATGCTGTGATCAGAAGAACCTGTTGTGGCCCCGAGACATCTTCATTTGTACTGTGTCCTGCGTGTTAAAACCCGGGGGGGGAGGAGATGGGGGGGAAGGGAAATCCCTGGCATCTGCGTTCTGGAGAAGCAAGTGGCTGCTGCTGGAACCTGGGGCTGGTGCAGTGGGGCAGCCTCCTGAGCTTTGGCACACAGCTGAGCTGCCAGCTCAGCCAGCCCATGGGCAACCCTTGCACGGCCGCCTGGGCTGCTGAAAGGAGAGAAAATGCCACTTGCCAGCCAGCACATACTGGCACAGCAATCTCCCTGGGAGGGGTGGGGTGGGGAAAACAGTAGGTGGGAGAGGAGCTGGAGTATAAAGACCTATCAGTGACCTTTTCACCTTATGCCTATAGATGAGTTTTTTATTATCCTGACGCTGGCTTGGCTGCCTCCCAGGGCTGTGTTATAAACCTGTTGGCCAATCAAAAGTTGGTTCCATAGCTGATTTCTTCTGTTTCCACCAGGCACACGGCTCCCTACGGCCTGGGGAGCCCGCCCGGGCGGCGCAGGAGGTCGCTCAGCAGGTGTCAGTGCTCGCTCTCCAGGGACAGCATCTGTGCCACCTTCTGCCAGGCCAAGCCTGGGTAAGTCGAGGGTCTTGGGGATGTCCCTGGGGGCTGCTCAGTGGGGGCTGCCCAAGCAGGCAAAGCTTGGGAGCTGCAATAACTCCCTGCACGGCTCTTTGCAGACAGCTGGAACTTGTCTAGTGGCTTCCAAACCCCTCTCAGGAGGCCTTGGCCAAGGGTTACTGGGGTGTTTGTTGTAGAGTAGTCACTTTACTAGCTGATATGATGTCAGTTACCTCCATCCCTCCTGCTGCCAGGTGGGAAGGAGAGGTGGCAGCACTCTGGGAGAGGGACAAGCGGAGGGTGTGAAACTTTGGGACACCTGAGTCTCTTCTGCATGACTCAGGTGGGAGAGGCTGCAGGAGACCAGGACTGCTGAGAGCTGGGACTGGAAAGGCAAAGTATTCTGTACCCTACTCTTGTATAGCACACATGGGCTCTCAGCTGTCTTGCTTCAGGCAGCAGTGCAGGAGTGCTTACAGTGTGGGGAAGTGGGGAGCAAAGTCACTGTAGAGTTCTGTCATTAATTTAATACCAAGGCCATACTTAAAATCCCCAATGATTTAATATGACTGTGAATAAAGCAAGGATAGAAGTAAAAGTGAGCTATAAATAGCTCTCAAATAGCTGCAATTAACCCTTCAACTGTCTTTGTCTGTCACTGGTGACATCAGAGCATCACTCCCCCTGATACCTGTGGCTGGTGTGAGTGCTTCATGCATCTCCTCTTGCTCGTCAGGTACCTTCAGAGTCTGAAGCTGCCAGGGAGCTCTGGAGCATCAGTGGAGGCTCCTCAGAGGCCTTCCCACCACAGCCTGCTGAGAGCTCTCAGGTGAGCACAACACTGAAACCTGCTCTCAACTTCCCTCATAAGCACTTTAAAAACCTGCAGTTGTAACCCCAGGCTGCAGCTGCCACTTGGACTTGACCTTGTGTCCCCCTCTTGTCTCCCTGGAAGTAAGGAGATGACTATACCTGCACTCTGTAGAATTAAAGGCTAACAGCTGAGGGAACCAGGCTTGCTTGTGTCCTTCCAGAGCTACAGAAATACTAAATAAAATGTACTTCTTGATTGGAGTGGGAAGTTCCTGTGAGACGGGGCAGGCAAAAGGCTGATGTGCAAGAAGGTGGGAAGGGAGGGCATCATGCAGGACCATGATTGATTGTCCAACAGCTTTTGTGAAACAGCCTCTCTCCCCTCACATTGGTGAGCTGTAGAACTCACTGCTGGAAGAAACTGTGGGTTCCAGGGGTATGAATGAGTTAAATTGGCAGATCAAAGGAGGTTTGGTCCATTGGTGGCAGTTAAATCAGAGGCAACGGGAACAGTTTCTGAATGGCCAACCTGGGGTAGCATCACTTGGGTCATGCCTTGCTTGAAAGGCTCCTTGAAGCCTCTGCCACTGGTGGGAAGGGGACATGGGGCTGGACAGGTCTGTGCTGGGGCTTAGCACAGCTGCAGCTAGAAGCTGCCCCACTTCCTTCCCCCATCTTCTGCCTCAAAAAAAAAACCTTGGCAAGGACTAGATGAGTATCCAAATATAAGCTGCTGCTGAGCAGCAGGAAAATGGAGTGGAGCATGACCATGGTGTCTCTTCTGTTGACAGGGACCTTGCTGTGTCCAGGCTGAGGCCTGGCAGGCACCAGCACCATTCGGGGAGGAACGCGCAGCCAACGGCTCTGCCTTGGAAGAAAAACATCTGGAAGAAGAAGAGATAAGGAACAGGTGCAGACCAAGTTCAGCAGAAGAATTTGGAGCTCTGTGGGTGCCGCTGCCTCTGCTGTCGGTAGTTAGAGCTGAAGGAAAGGCCATGAGTGGAAAGGGGAAGAAGTGGAAGTCTCCGTGCTCCTGTTGCGCGAACCAGCACTGCGTGTGTACTCCTGAGACTGTTGTAAAGGGAACACTGTCTCTCTATACAGTCACAGATGTGTTGTGGAGCTGAATTGTGCCTTTTTGGATCAGAGAAGGGTCTTGCTGGTAGAGTACTAGCTTCACTCTGCACTGGGGCCCTAGACAGAGGGTCAGCCCCCTCCTGTGGGGTTGAATTCCTTGCAGAGCAGGTGGATGTGTGCAGTGCTGGCCCTGGCAGCCCTGAGCCTCCTCACTCTCTGCCCTGGGGCCATGTGAACGTGGTTCCAGCTTGGCCAAACTCAGAGGTGGTTTGGCAGGGATAAAGTGCCTCCAGCAGGACCTGCCCAAGCCCACCTTTGCACATTTCTCTCTTACTTGTCAGACAGTGCCATGTGTGCATGAATGAGGCTCCCGTGGTAAAACAGCTCCCAATCCTTATTAAAATGGTCTCTGTCTCCTAGAAGCATGAAAGCCAGCTGAGCTGTCAGTGGCATTCCCTGCTGAGACATTCCCTGAAGGGCCATCCTTAAGTGGCTCTTGTTTAGGTGGAGGACAGACAGTTTGCTTACAGTGGGGCTTGCACCAAGTCCAAGCATGATCCCTGCTCCCAGGCCAGGCAGAGCAGGGCTGGGGGCTCAGGGGGGGCCCTGCCATTTTTCAGGAGCCCCCTGCATGCAGCCCCCATAGCCTGGGGGAGGGAGCCCCACAGGATCCCAGGCAGAGATGAGCTGCTCATCTGGATGAGTTCACTGCTGTGAACCTGCCTCATCTCCTTGGCCATACCCTCTAGTGGGTGCAGTACTTCCAGCTCTTAACCTTGCATCCCAACTTGCTTCCAGCTTTGCCTGAAAGGAAAGGCTGGGAGCAGAGAAGGTGGATGCTGGGAAAATAGCACACAAAGGCTTCCTTTGCTGCTTTGCTTAGATCAGATCCCCAGGTCAAACTTTATCCACTAAGTGACCAGGATATGGGTGGCCTGTCCCTGTGAGGAGAATGTCTGGAATAGGGGTGTGTTAGGTGAGGGGCAGCCAAGTGGGGTTGATGTGGAGAAAAGGATTGCTAGGAAGAGAGCACAGCACTGTCTGCACAGCTGGAGGAGAAAGGCTTGGATTTCAAGCCATGCCAGGATCACAGCTGCTTCCCCAGGCCTGGAGCAGTGCAGTGGTGCTGGCCTGGGGGAGGGAAGGAAGAACTGGAACACTGAGCCCAGGACCTAGAAACCAATCTTGTAGGCAAACACAATCTCAAGGCTCTGGACCTGTATCAAAAATGCACCTGTGTTTGCCTGGGCAGATTAATTTGTATTAGAAATCATGGCTGCAGAAGTCATCTGGTTTGTGCAGATACATAATTGCTCTCCTGAAGCTGCTGCTGGGTACCTCTTGGTGCCCAATCCAGTGTCACACGTGAGCATTGAAAAAAGGCTGCTTAAAGTTGGTGGTGGAGCAAAATCTGTGGCTGTTGCAAGTGTAGTCCCATTGGACATATAAAATACTTCCTTGATTTTGCTTGATGCCCTGGAGGGGGAAAAAAAATGAGACCAATTGATTGTATTGTAAATGAAACAGCAGATTGATCATTTGGTCCCCAAATCTGCAGAGAAACTTTTTTATATTTGACCTTCTGAAGGTTTGAATCATTCTTAAAAAAATAAATCCTGGAAGGGTTTGTTCCAGAGAAGAGTTTGCACATGGTTTAATGTGAGCTTAGTAATTTAAAATAAAACTACTGCTGTAAAATACTATGTATATCTCCTTGTGTGTATGATGTCCCACCTCAAAGTGACTTATTGCACACTTGCCATATGTAGCATCCTGAAATCTGTATATTTATTTAAATCTATTGATTTTTTTAGACAGTAATTTGCAAAATGTAATTTGTAATAAATAATAACAAAAGTCAATACCATTTTTCTTCCTTATTTGATGGCTGGGGGGTGGTGGATGGAGTGAATGAAACCCAGGTGACCAAATCACTGTGAAAGTGAGTTGGGCAGCAAAGCTGGGTGAGAAAGGGGAGGCTGGGGTCTTGTGACCAGCCCTGAGAAAATGTCAGCTCAAAGTCAACCCATCCAGCTGACTTAAATGCTCTTGAACTTAAAATAAATACCTTGTTCCTTTCTAGATGTTTGTGGGAACACAGAGGTGAAATGATTCCCCAGCCTGTTGTGCTTAGGGCTGAGGATGCTGAGACCAGCTGGAATCCTTCTGCCAAGGGATCCTGTTAGTGCTTCCCCAGGGTTCAGTCCTTTGTCACAAACCCTCTTTGCAGCTCTGTGCCTGGTGTCAGCACCACAGGGACAGAGCAACCACCCACCCCCTCCTGTGCCCACTGACTTGCAGATCTCAAGATTGATTTTAATTAATTTTTAAGTACAGTTAAAGAGTCATCATCCAGCTGATGGTCTTGTTTGCATGAGGACCACACTGTAGATTGTTGTGGTGTAGTTAACTCAGTGAATCTCACAGCACAGCTGTGATAAGGGAATTAAAAAGAACCACTAATGTGGTAGCTAACCCTGTGCTTGCTGCATCTCCAGAAGCTTCTTGGTGGGTTTCCATGGCTTCCTGGGAGCAGAGGCTCAGGGAGCTGCAGCCCCATCCTTTCCTATTGCCTAGTTTTCTTTGCTGAGCTGCATGACCTGTGGCCAAGACTCCACCCTGGGATTTGGTGTCAGAGTGTGAAAAATTAATTCCTTCAGATGCTTCTGAGACAATGTCATAGTTTCTATGACTTTTAATGATAAAGGTCCATGATAAAAAGGACTTTGAATTATAGGTAAAAGGGAAAAAAAAAAGTACCCTGAAGCACTGCAGATTTCCTGTGTCCAATATCTGGGGTGAAATTCCCAGCTCTTCTGCACAACCTTGTTCAAGAATAGGACTGAAAATTGTGCCTGTTTGGGGCAGTTTCCACAATGTCCTGTTTGCACTGATTTCAGGTGGTGTGAATGAGGAAGCTGAGGCCTGCTGGAAATTCATTCAATTCTCAGGAAAGGTTTCCTTGTCATCTGTAATGTCTATCGAGCCAGCCTTGGGCCCAGCCTTTTATTTGTCTTTCTGAAGTCACAGAAGAACTATGGCCTTAGTCAGCCCTTGGTCCCAGGGAACAAACCACCCCTGCTCAGCAGAGGAGCAGCACATGGGGAGCATCACGTCTGCTGGAGGTGTGACCACAAGAAATGCTCTCCAGCTCTGCTCCAACTTGGAGCAAGACATTCAAATAAGGGGAGAGAAAATCTGAACTCATCCTTTTGTGGGTGGGTTGGTTGGGGTTTGTTGGTTTTTTCTTCGTTTGCTTGTTTTCCTACCTCTAAGACCAATGAACAGAGAGAAACTTCCAGACAGGGATGAATGATGAAAAATCTTCCAGGGCAAGTTCTCCACGTTGACCTGGGGAAACTTTGGGCTTACTGGTGAGTACTGCAGAAGGAAATACTGGAAGCCAACATATCTGGATAACTAGTTTTAAAATACCACAGGCCAGACATCCAGAAACATCCCTCAAGACCTGGATGAAATAATCTCAGAAGACCTCCTAGCTAGGAACTCAGGTAGGGCCCCTCAGGTGTCCCACCCAGTGCTGAGGAGCAACCAGAACCTGTCAGTAACCCCGTGGTGTTGCCTGGAACAATTCCAACATCTGTGCAAAGCCCAGCCCTTCAGGTACAGTTTTAGTTGCACGAGTTAATTAAGTATCACCCAAGGGAGGAAGAGAAGGCAGATGCTTCAGAACATCTTCATTAGGGTGAGAAGGGAGAAGACAGGATGAGATTATTCTGAGGTTATTGAATTCAGTGACAAAGAAGTAGGCTGCAGTCATTTTATGACTTCTCATATGTAACAGGCAAGTCAGAATAACCAAACTTTATTAAAGAGGAAAACCCTGGAAAGCAGGCAACTTTCAAAGCCAGTTCTAAGTGTAAGTGCTACAGGATCTTCCAAAAGGTGCAAGTTTTGATTGAGCCACCCTTGTTATGTCTGGCAATTCCCATAAGAGTGGCCCTCTTGTGCCCTGCATGGGACTGACATATTTCTGCAGCTGGAGGTCCTGAAAAAGACCCTTCCTAGGTGGTCCACAGGCAGCTACATTTCCTTCTCTGCTGTGGGACAGTTCTGTCCTCAGCAGTTTAAGCAATATCTTTTTTTTTGGTGGGACTTTGCTTACATCTCACATTTGTTAAACAGAAAAGTTCTGCTCAGAAGAAGATGTATTGACATAAAAATAGAAGGATGCTTTGAGTATTTGGGTGGATGCCTTTCCAAGGCTAGACTTTGATGCTTCCATGGGAAGAAGTTGTCCATGGCAGGCAGGATTTGCTAGCAGATTTTCCTGCCTGATTTTATAATTTTGCCCTGCTTTGGGCAAAATTTGGTTTATATTACCTTGCAGAAGAGCTGGTCCTTATGAAATAAGACCTAGGGTGCAACAGGAGGGAAGGGACAGTGAATAATGGGTGCAGAGTGATGACCCCCCTTGTCAGGGGTCTGCAGATGCCTTTGGTTTCAGCACTTCTGGCCTGATCTACATGGTCAATGGCTCTGTTGAACATGGACCAGCATATAGACCTCCCAGACAGTACTGGTGGCCCACCCAGGACCTCTGTCTCTCTCTGTAGGATTGAGTCTGTCACAGAAATCTTTTGTCCCCACGTGTGACTAAAGCCACAGCTACAAGGCACTGAGGCAGGTGCCCTGCAGAAGGGCTTTTCTGTAGGAGATGCCTCCTGTGAGCACTTGTGCTGTCATGTCAAGCTTCTAATAATGTGGCTCAATGGAATGGAATCTTCTCAGTGTCCTCCACCACAGAGAGGTTCTCCAGTCACCTTGGAGATGGCCAAGGTGCAGCCCTGGGGTTTGCCTATGCC